TGCGTAGGAATGCATCCTCGATCGGCTGAGTGGAGTAGGAGGCGCCGTCCCTGATTGGGACTAATTTTGGTTCCAGTCGGGTACACTTTTTGGTACAACTTTCTCCGAATTGAAATCCGTTTGCACCGTTGCGATCGTGCAATTAAACTCTATCCAACGATATAATTTTTATATTTATTCGTTATACTTTTTCCGACATCATATTTTTGGGTGGTTGACTTTGACAGAGTCAAAATTGGCCTTTATTCAAAAAGGTTCTCACATTTAATTCATATTATTTATTCCCATGATTTATTTCAATAAATCATTTCAAAGTTCACATTATAAACAATTTCTTCATTTATTCTTAATTTGGGTCTGTACTCAGGTTCTCAATCAAGATCACACAATAAATCAACATGTTGGATTTATCTCTATAAGATTTATCCCAATTATGTTTATTGGATATCAATATATATTTTATTCAAGCCCAAATCCCAACAACAATTTATTTTAATCAAAACAAATTTTGTTTAATTGAATATTTAATTCAATAAATTTTTGGGTATATTTTGGGGCGTTACATGCTTAATCTGGCCTTGTACAGACCATAGCATGCATCAAACTTCCTACATCACTAGCATAAGGGACTCGTGACATATACTCCTTCTCTTCTTCTGACTGTGGAGCGAACATGGCAGTGAGATGGATATTGGCAGCACTAGGGGTGTCAATAGGCTTAGATGAAGACATCCCAAACCTCGTCAAGAACTTCTGAATGTAACCTCTTTGTGACAAGAAAATTTTCCTTTTCTCTCTGTCTCTGATGATCTCCATCCCTAAAGTCTTTCGAGCGGCTCCCAGATCCTTCATCTCAAACTCAGCACTAAGTAAACCCTTCAGCTTCTGGACGTCATACTTCTCCTTTGCAGCTATCAACATATCATCTACATAAAGCACCAGGTAGATGAATGACTCATCTTTGAGCCTATTGTAGTAGACACAACAATCATATGAGCTTCGAGTGTAGCCCAACTTCACCATATAGCTGTCAAATCTTTTGTACCGTTGCCTTGGGGACTACTTGAGTCCGTATAAGGACTTCTTCAACTTGCAAACGTGACTTTCCTTCCCTGGAACTTGGAAACCATCCGGCTGAGTCATGTATATCTCTTCCTCCAACTCTCCATGTAGAAATGTTGTCTTCACATCAAGTTGTTCGAGCTCCAGATTTTGATGTGCAACTATCGCTAGTAGCACGCAGATGGAAGTGTGTCTGACCACAGGTGAGAAAATCTCATTGTAGTCCACTCCCTCTCTTTGGTTGAAGCCTCTGGCAACGACCCTGGCTTTATACTTGACCCCTTCTGCTGGTGATATTCCTTCCTTCCTTTTGAAAACCCATTTGCAAGTAATAACCTTTCTCCCTGGAGGCTGTATGACAAGATCCCATGTTTGATTCTTTTGCAAGGACTCCATCTCATCTCCCATAGCGGCTAGCCATTTTTCAGAATCAGAACTTAAAACAGCTTCTCTGTAAGTAGATGGTTCAGAAGTATCTACCTCTTTAGCAACCTGCAGTGCAAAACCCACCATGTCCTCAAAACCATACCTCATAGGTGGCCGAACTCCAACCCTTCTTGGTCGATCTTGAGCTATACTACAATGGGTATCTGATGGCATAGATTCTGGGAAATCAGTTTCTGTCTGTGTCTCTTGATTCTCCTCTTCAGGTTCTTTCATATCACTCTCGTTCTGAGTGACTTGAAGCTCCACCTGTTTATCAAGACTCTCAGTTTCTGACGTAGTTGTAGGCTTCACGATGGTTCTAAGCAGAGAACTTTCATCAAAGACAACGTTTCTGCTCAGAATAACCCTCTTTTCTGCTGGAGACCAGATTCTAAAACCTTTCACTCCATCTCTGTAGCCCACAAATACTCCCTTTTTAGCTCGTGGTTCTAGCTTACCTTCACTGACATGATAGTAAGCTGTACAACCAAAGGCTTTCAGATTTGAATAATCAGCAGCTTTTTTTGACCACATCTCCATAGGTGTCTTGCACTGAATGCCTGTATGTGGTCCGCGGTTAATCAAGTAACAAGCTGTACTGACCGCTTCTGCCCAGAACCTTCTGTCTAGCCCAGCATTAGAGAGCATGCACCTTGCCCTCGCCAGAAGTGTTTGATTCATCCTCTCAGCTACACCGTTCTGTTGTGGTGTATCTCTGACTGTACGATGTCGAGCAATCCCTTCATCCTTACAGAATTGATCAAATTCAGACCAACAGAATTCCAGCCCGTTATCAGTTCGCAACCTCTTGATCTTCTTCCCTGTTTGATTTTCCATCAATTTTTTCCACTCCTTGAACTTCTGGAGAGCTTCACTTTTGTGCTTCATCGTGTACACCCAAGTCATCCTTGAGTAATCATCAATAATTGACACAAAAAATCTGCATCCTCCCAAAGACTCAACTTGGCATGGACCCCAGCAATCAGAATGGATGTAATCAAGTGTGCCTTTTGTTCTATGAATGGCCTTTGGAAACTTGTTGCGATGTTGTTTTCCAAAAACACAATGTTCACAAAACTCCAGGCTTTTTACCTTATGACCCGCAAGAAGATCCTCCTTTGACAGAATTTGCATCCCTTTTTCACCCATATGACCAAGTCTCATGTGCCACAACTTGGTCATATCTTCTTGTTTAACTTCTGATGATGCAACATGGACTGAACCTGTAACCGTGGAACCTTGTAGAAAATACAAAATACCACGCATGACACCTTTCAAAATCAGATTTGAACCCTTCCAGACGCGCAACGCGCCATCTTTTCCTAACCAACTAAACCCCTTGATGTCCAAAAGACTGAGGGATATCAAGTTTTTCGTCATCAATGGTGTTAGTCGGTTTAGTCTTTGTGCCCACGCCTTAGAGGGGGGTGAATAAGGCGTTTAAAATCTTTTCGGAGTTTGATAAAAACAGTGTTGGCAAATGCGGAAGCAATATATAAAACGCAGAAATAAAAGCGTAAATAAAATGCACACCGATTTTATACTGGTTCGGGAAACCCCTACTCAGTACCTCGAGGCTCCTCCTCAAGGATTTCCGAATCCACTAAGTCCCGGCCTCTTGAACTCCGTCAAAGCACCGCACTAGTTTTGGCAAACAACCCTTGCCAATAAGATTCACTCCGAGATTTCACAACGGCTATCTCGAACCGTTTACAATGAAGATTTAACGGCTATCTTCTATCGTTCCCCTAAGGATTTCAAAGGCTATCCTTGAACCTTTACCCAAGGATTTAAACGGCTATCCTCGACCGATACAATATGAGAATTTAACGGCTATTCTCGACCGTATAAAGATGTGTTTGAAGAACACAAACAAGAGTTCTACACAACGGCTTGAATATAAAAATGAAGAACAAAACTTAGCCGGTGTAGAAGGAAAGTATACTCTCTCAAAAATACAATTCAAACTTATGAATATGAGAGTATATATAACTAGAAACACAAGCTCAAAGTGTGTGTATAAAAATCAGGAACTTAAGGCTCTTAAAATAGCCAAAATATTGAAAATAATTAATAAAAGGATGAACACACTTAGAATAAAAAGAGAGGATGTTTAGATCTTTGTTTCTTGAAGAAATATGAAGGATTAGGCTTGTATTTATAGTGGAAGATGTTAATTAGCCGTTGGGAGGTGATTAGGGTTGATTAAATTCAAAATTGGCAATTTTGCTACAGTGCTGTAACGGATCCGGTACCCTTCACGGTAGGGGGGTCCGTGTCATCCGGTACCTAGGTACCGTGACACGGTACGGCCTACCGTGTGGGGGTACCGTATAGGCCAAAATAAGTTTTCGCCTCTGGCGGTACCGGGTTAGGACGGGGTGGCCTACCGTATGTGCCTACCGTACGGTACCTGGGTACTGTTACACGGTATGGGGGTACCGTGTAGGCGGTATACCCTACCGTTTGGGGTACCGCTAGGGGTACCGTGCCACTGTCCTGCTTTTTCCAAAATTCTCGTAATCCTTCGCGTTTGAGTTTAAAACCTTTTGGATATTTTGAAAATGTTTATGGGATGGTTTTTAACATATTTTGTGAGTGCTTTTGAGCTTGTGAATATAGGTATATAAAGTCATATCCTTACATTGGTTTCTACCTATATTCTACGCTAGTTTAGTGTTTCGACTTCATACTTGAGTACTGAATCTTAATGGATTCTTGTTGTACCTGAAACACTTAAACCAACGTCAAACTCTTATATTGTTTGTTAACATCAAAACATGAGACTTAGCAAACCAAGGCTAACAATCTCCCCCTTTTTGATGTTGACAAACAATATACTTCAAAGTGAGTTAGGCGGGAGTAAAATAATGAAACAAGCAAGCTCCCCCTAAGAACAAGCATATTGAAAATACTCACTTTGAACTTTTTCTTGTGTTTATTAAAAGTTTAAGTTTGATTTAAAAGTTTACACAAGAATGCACTCACGTCAAGTTGCATATGCACCACTCTGACGTATACATCTTCTCCCCCTTTTGTCAAAATCAAAAAGGGTATTTTGAAAATTTTAGCCATGTATAACTTCTTGAAACCCTCCCCCTATCAAAATGATTTTTTTGGAAAAATGATAGTTTTGAGATCATTGGGCAAAAGGTGCATTTACAACAAAACTTCCCCTAAAAATGAAAACTCCCCCTAGAATGATGCAAGTTTAAAAACTTTATTTTTCAGGGATTTTTGGGGATTATTTTCTAAAATGCATGAATTTTAAGAAATTTTAATCATGCAAAACCAAGGCTAAAACAAATAAAAGCACATATGGGATCAGGTTTTATTTTTGAAAAATAATTAAAACCAAACAAAATAATATCTTATCCCAATAAGTGAGAAGAATTTACCTTGGCTTATGTCGCTCTTTCTTTGGCTTTTTATACGTTTGTTTCCTCTTCACATACTTCTTCCATTTGAGGAAATCCGTATACTTATTTCTCATTGTCTTCTCTTCGTCTTCTTCATCATCCGACTCTTCCGTAGAGCTTGAGTCGCTTGAATCATCACTTGATTCACTTGACTCTTCACTAGATGAGTCTTTTGAAGCTTTGAAGGCGTTGGTAAGCTTGGGATTTTCACACATTTCTTCCTCTTTGATCTTTCTCAACAAAAGCTCATGAGAATATAAGGAAGATCAGATTTGGGCGGTTTCGGCCTTATCACATTTGGGTAATAAATCCACTATACTACTATGCCATTCTTTAGGTAAAGAAAATAGAATTTTCGTATTAAGCTCGGAAGTAGTATACGTCTTACCCAACTTACTCAATTTGTTGACAATCTCATTGAACCTCTTGTTCATATCTTGGATTGTCTCACATGTTCCTTTCTTGAAGGATTCGTACTCGGCGTTCCCAAGGGCAATCATTGTTTGCTTTGTCGAGACATCCCCTTCGTGAGTGGCTTCTAATAGATCCCATACTTCTTTGGCAGTTTTGCACGTACTCACTCTTGCAAATTCATCGGGACCGAGGGAGCAATGAAGGATGTTGATTGCCTTTGCATTCATTGATAACTTTCTCTTATCTTCCGACGATAATCCTGCAAAATCACCATTACTCGGCACAAACGGCCCGTGAAGTACATTCAACCATAAATCAAAATCAATAGATTGAATGAAGTATTCCATCCGCATTTTCCAATAAGAATAGTTTTGGCCATTGAAAAACGGAGGGCGGTGAATGCTTTCGGAATCCATTTGGGCCATTTTTCAATAAATTTGAATTTTAATAAATAGGGAAAATAAAATTTTGAGATTAAAAAATTCAAATTTAAAAAGATGGACACAACAAGTGGATCTTTGTCGTAGATGCGGTTAAGCACTTTCAACTACGAAACTGCTCTGATACCAATTGTTAGTCGGTTTAGTCGTTGTGCCCACGCCTTAGAGGGGGGGTGAATAAGGTGTTTAAAATCTTTTCGGAGTTTGATAAAAACGGTGTTGACAAATGCGGAAGCAATATATAAAACGCAGAAATAAAAGCGTAGATAAAATGCACACCGATTTTATACTGGTTCGGGAAACCCCTACTCCAGTACCTCGAGGCTCCTCCTCAAGGATTTCCGAATCCACTAAGTCCCGGCCTCTTGAACTCCGTCAAAGCACCGGACTAGTTTTGGCAAACAACCCTTGCCAATAGGATTCACTCCGAGATTTCACAACGGCTATCTCGAACCGTTTACAATGAAGATTTAACGGCTATCTTCTACCGTTCCCCCAAGGATTTCAAAGGCTATCCTTGAACCTTTACCCAAGGATTTAAACGGCTATCCTCGACCGATACAATATGAGAATTTAACGGCTATTCTCGACCGTATAAAGATGTGTTTGAAGAACACAA